AATCCTGTGACGACACCACGCACGAAGTCCTGCATCGGTCTTTGAGAATTTAGACTGGTCAGCTCTTTTTCCGATCGGCAGAATCGGCAGAACAAAATAGGTTTGCCGTGCGTTGAGTCAGTTTTGAGTGAAGTAAAGATAAAGAAAAAAATGAATCAAAAACAGTACAGATTCACCGACTCACCTCGGTAGTGTTCAGACGTTATGTGGACGATCGGGGCGTCGGGTTCTGGTGGATGCCTGTGGCTCGAAGAGATGAAAGAATAACATTCTTGCTGACAGAACATTTTCTTTGCACAAGGAAAAACAAGAAAATTTTGGTAGTGTGGAGTTTGCCACACATATCTCTCTATTTGGCCCAACTCGCTCTATTTGGCGCTATACTTTTTCCAGCCGCTTCCCGAAGCCTGGTAAAGACTAATATAGCCTCGGTCGGCAGGTGTGTCGCGGCCGCCGTGTAAACTATGACTGGTAGTGTTTCCCTATAGACCAAACAAATTATAAGAGCGTCAAGGTGTCGAAATAGCAACTTACCAGCTGAGAATTTCAAGGGTCCAACGTCTTCATCGGAACATGCGGCATCAACAGACTGAAGTAGCCATTTTCTTCCCTTATTTTGACAGGGGCATTATGTACCATTTCTGCAACAAAAATGGAAATATTTCAAATGAAATAAATCTTTGACTTTTTGACGTTCGTGTGTATTTAATTTGTACAGTTTCTGCTCCATTTCAGACACCAAAGGACAAAGGCAAGGAATTTGAATCAAGGAAACTTTGAAAAGACTGACCAACTACGCAAGAGGGGACTCAGTAAGTGGTACTCAAAGCCCTTACCAGTTCCTTTGTTTAAAAAACAGCGGAAGAAAATATTGGCAACATCAGTGTGTTGATGTTGTTGTCGTGGTGACGCGTTTTCAACAACTTGACTTTACTCCGTGTGTTTATACCAGCTCGCAAACAAGGTAATCATTGTTATTGATTGTACACACGGTTGTCACGGCCCCAACATTTTTACTCCTCAAAGGGCCACGACACATGAGCCAATCAAAGACAATATACATATAGTTTAGAACGTGCCTCACTTTATAGTAGATTGGATACTACACTTGCCACTATTCGGGCCTTGTCCCCGACATATACTAGTATATGTACATGAACTTTATTGACACAACAAAAGTACAGCGACTTTCGTAAGGTCTAAGACCCCGTTAGCGGGGGTAACGATCATTCCCCTCCAACCTCTGCTTGGAGAATAAGTCCCACAAGGTATCGCCAAAAACCAATTCCCTAGGGAATGCATTGGTGGAATTCTTAGAATATTTTCAACTCAATCGCAGTACTATACCAACGGCTCCGCCCTCGCCAATTTGGCGAAAGCGAAACTTGTATATAGAAAAGTGGAGACAAAATATACACTACTTGACTTAGACGTACATGTAACTTGTTACATACATAAGGAACATATACATGTACAAGGGTACTATACTCTAAGGCTAATACAAAGTGTTCTAGTTACTGAGCTAATACAGGGTGATCAACTTCTTCTCGCTTTTTTGTACAATGGAAAATGTGGGAACAGATCATGTTAGTGATACTCTTAAACAAGCGGTACGTCCGTAACTTGTTAATGACATGGCCAGCGTCAGGAAAAAGCCGCAATGAGGCTCCGCCCCTGTTCCGTTGCCAAAACTCGGGCGTCACATGACGCCGGTTGACCTCTGACCTTCCCCCGCCGTTTCCAGCACGTTGAAGGTGAGTTTTGTCGTGTTGTGTCGCGTTTTGTCGCGTTGTCCTTGTCGTAGCGACGTCGTACGTCTCAAGAAACTGCGTCACGTCTTCGCCGCGGCTGCACAGCTGACAGAGAGCCTTAAAGACTCGGGTTTGTGTCTTGTGTTTCCGCTACAGGCGGGTTTTGCTTGCACGACGTTGGGGGTGGATGTAACGTTACACACATGTATTTATAACTAACGTTACAGATTATAACCTTATAACGCCGGCAAAGCGCTTGGCAGGCAGGGGAAAATAAAAACTGTTCAAATCACGACATAATTACTCAAGCGTGATCTGATGTAATCATGAAGACATTTTTCCCTACCGTAAACATGAGAAAATCTGCACGTCGTTGGGGGTGCGTGGGTAACGTTATATTTATAACTACAGATTATTACCTTATAACGCCGGCAAAACGCTTGGCAGGCTGTGAAAAATAAATACTGTAATTCCTGATTTTTTCACTGTGCTGTTATGTTCACTGTTTTCACTGTCACTTCTGTACCGTGAACTTATCATTACAGTTAACAAATAATTCTTGGACTTTCTTTTTCCTGCACCTGTCGCCACAGTGAATATAACGTTATAGTTCCGTTAACGTGTCCATTTTTCTCAGACCAGGAAATTTTGCTACCGTGAACATGAAGTGAATTGCATAGTACACATCTATGAGGTTCGGCATGAATTGTTATATAGATACACTATTAGAATCACGGCAATCATGAGCAAATATTTCCGTACCAAGAACATGTGAAATATTTTTGGCCCCAAAGATGTTTTTCCTAGTCCTATGTACAGTATGGACTCATACATTGTGAGGATTTGTGGTTGTGCATAAAATATTTTGTTTGCTACTTCATGTATAGTGACTTATTTTGTAGTTTATAGTAAATTTTACTATTAATGCCTTAATTTGTACTACATTTTATGCTTTCCACATAATGTATTTTATGCTCAGGGCCCCTTTGAAAATACTGCGGTTACCCTTAAGACAGTTAAGTCCTCCCAGACCTTAGTTAGAGTTATGAATACTGTAACAGTAATTCATCAGTTTTCCTTCGTTAGCAACCCTGCCTCTGGACCAAGAGGTTGGGAGTTCGAATCCCGGCTATTGTCACTCACGCTACTGGAAAGGGTCACAGTCCTTAATTTGTACAGGACATTAAGCCGTTCATTTCATGCTTGTTGAAAAGAGCTAGTTGAATCTTACTGGTACATCGGATCTGTAAATACTGTACAAAGCAGCTGTCTTCTCTGTCATAACCAGTGGGAGAATTTTTTTATTTCCCCTCAGGTGAAGAGAAAACTTTGTGTGTTTAAGTAGCGGAGAATAATGGCTGAGAGGTACCCGCTGTCTGCGTGGAACACTCCCGACAAGAAGGTTCCTCTGGAGGAGCTCCTGAAGGAAGACACGTCCGAGGAGTGCTCCTTAGTGTCGGACACGTCCGTCCAGGAGGGCCAAGACGTCATCAACTACGCCTTGGAGGAGCCCTTCCTCCTTAAGACGGAGGTGGAGAAATGCGAGAAGTTTCCTCACCTGAAGAAGGAGGCAGACAAGCAGCATCGAGACGACTTCTTCAACTTACAGGTGAAACTTTCACTTTCACTTTCACTAACTTACAGGTTAGAAAATATATAATACATGTACACAGTAGTACTTCTACTTACAGGTTAGAAATACCCTACTTCTGGTATCAACTTACAGGTTAGAAATAACCTACTTCTGGTATCAACTTACAGGTTAGAAATACCCTACTTCTGGTATCAACTTACAGGTTAGAAATAACCTACTTCTGATATCAACTTACAGGTTACTGTTACAAATACCCTACTTCAACTTACAGGTTAGTGTTAGAAATACCCTACTTCAACTTACATGTTACTGTTAGAAATACCCTACTTCTGATATACAAGATTAAATCAGGGCTCAAAATTAACCACGAAAATTTAGGCTGGGACAACTAAAAATACACTTAGGGACATTTTGGGGACAAAATTTTGGCATTCTGCAATGTTGCAGAACACTGGAAAAAAGTATTTTTACTACTGCAGGCGAAGATTGAGGAGCGGCAACTGGAGGAGCTCAAACGGGAATCTTTCCGGCGCTACGTGGGGGTATCTACATGGCGGGGACTCTGCAGCTGTCAGGTAACACTCGTTCTCGCACTCATTCTCTCACTCATTCTCTCACTCATTCTCTCACTCACTCATTCTCTCACTTATTCTCTCACTCACTCCTCACTCACTCAATCACTCACTCACTCACTCCTCACTCACTCTCTCACACACACACACACACTCACTCACCCACCCACTCACTCACTCACTCACTCACTCACTCACTCACTCACTCACTCACTCACTCACTCACTCATTCACTCACTCACTCCTCACTCACCCACTCACACACACACTCACTCACCCACCCACTCACTCACTCACTCACTCACTCACTCACACTCACTCATTCTCCACTCATGATCATTCTCTCACTCATTCTCTCACTCACTCACTCCTTTCTCACTCACTCACTCACTCACTCACTCACTCACGCACTCAGTCATTCTCTCTCACTCACTCATGCATGTGTTACCTCACTCACTCACTCATTCTCTCACTCACTCATGCATGTGTTACCTGATGTTTACCTGTGAGTTTATGCAGGTGTGCATGTGTTACCTGATGTTTACCTGTGAGTTTATGCAGGTGTGCATGTGTTACCTGATGTTTACCTGTTTATGCAGATGTGCATGTGTTACCTGATGTTTACCTGTTCATGCAGGTGTGCATGTGTTACCTGATGTCTACCTGTGAGTTTATGCAGGTGTGCATGTGTTACCTGATGTTTACCTGTTCATGCAGGTGTGCATGTGTTACCTGATGTTTACCTGTGTGTTTATGCAGGTGTGCATGTGTTACCTGATGTTTACCTGTGTGTTTAGGCAGGTGTGCATATGTTACCTGATGTTTACCTGTTTATGCAGGTGTGCATGTGTTACCTGATGTTTACCTGTGTGTTTATGCAGGTGTGCATGTGTTACCTGATGTTTACCTGTTTATGCAGGTGTGCATGTGTTACCTGATGTTTACCTGTGTATGCAGGTGTGCATGTGTTACCTGATGTTTACCTGTGTATGCAGGTGTGCATGTGTTACCTGATGGGCTTCTTGATGCTGACTCTGATGTCGGGCTGCGGAGTGGGGATGATCTTCAACATCATCATGGGTAAGGCATTGTGGGTAGGGACAGGTGCATCATGGGTACGGCATTATGGGTAGGGAATGTTGCATGATGGGTCGGGACGGACTGCATTATGGGTAGGGACAGGTAGGCATTGTGGGTAAGGGATTATGGGTAGGCATACGTTGCATTATGGGTAGGGATGGTTTGAATCATTCGTAGGGACAGGTTGCATCATGGGTAGGGATGGGTTGCATTATGGGTAGGTGTAACAGTGGGGGGTTTATAGGCGCTACCAACAGATCTGGAAACGGGTCTAGACCTTTTAGTGGAGAGGTTAGAGCGTCTGGTTATGAAGCTCTGGTGCCCGGGAGGTCGTGGGTTCGAACCCCGGCCCGGGACCAGAAGGGTTTTTACTGGTTCCTCCTGTATAGGGATGGGTTGCATTGTGGGTAGGGACAGGTTGCATAGTGGGTTTATTTTAGCATTCTAGGGTCGATTTAGAACCAGACTTGTTCAAACCTGGGAACAAAAAGTCTAATTAGTGTGGCCTAAACTGAAATTTTACCTGAATGTTTGTATTGTATGATCTTTGTATGAACCCTGGAAGACTAGCCAGTTTTTGGCTAAAGGGTATCGTAATAAAGGAATAAAGGAATGTGCTTGACAGGGAATACCTGAAGTTTCCTTGTTTTTCTCTAGGTAACAACATCTTCATGCCGCTGGTGAAGCCGCCGTCCCAGCCGAAGGTTGCAGCCAGCACCCTGGCCCAAGGCCCCACAGCCCCCGCCGTGCAGTGCCCTGATGAGGACAACGCCCACAGGTTTGACTGTTTCCCCGAGGCCATCGCTACGCAGGCCAAATGTGAGGCTAGGGGGTGCTGCTGGAGGAAACCTGATGCTAACGGTGAGGACTTCAGCAGCTTCAAACTTCTCTTTATCTTACAGGGATGTAGTTAACTCTCATAGTCTCACAATGGTGTAGTTAACTCTCATAGTCTCACAATGGTGTAGTTAACTCTCATAGTCTCACAATGGTGTAGTCTCACAATGGTGTAGTTAACTCTCATAGTCTCACAATGGTGTAGTCTCACAATGGTGTAGTTAACTCTCATAGTCTCACAATGGTGTAGTTAACTCTCATAGTCTCACAATGGTGTAGTCAACTCCAAGCTTTGTGTAAATCTTTCTGATGCTAACGGTGAGGAGTTCAGCAGCTTCAGACTGCTCATCAAGTTTTCCAGTCATGTAATCTTACAGTGATGTAATCTTACAGTGATGTAATCTTACAGTGATGTAATCTTACAGTGATGTAATCTTACAGTCATGTAATCTTACAGTGATGTAATCTTACAGTCATGTAATCTTACAATCATGTAGTAGTTAACTTCCAGCTTTGTGTAAAGAGAGATGGCAGACTTCCCCTCCTTTAAAATTACTATCATAGTACATGAATAATAATAATACAATGTAATTTGTAGTAGGTCAAAAGCAGATACACTGATACAAACAGACCCGAAAACAATTCTCTCCCCAAGTCTTACTTCATAATTATATAAAAAAAGTAATGTAATAATTAATATAGTATATTTCCCTTTGACTTTACTCTTTGTCTCCTGACCTCTGACCTACAAACTTTGCCCTCTGACCCGACCTGCAGGCGTGCCCTTCTGCTACTTCCCGCCGACCTTTCCGTCCTACATGCTGGGGGAGGTGCAGCCGACCCCGCTGGGCGCCTCAGCAGTTCTGCGCAGGAACGGCAGCAGCCCGTACCCGCGAGATGCAAACCAGCTGTCGATGGTCCTGAGGATGGAGACTGACGGAAGGCTGCACCTGGTGGTGAGTTTAACCTTCTACCTGCTGCCTAACCCCAAAATCAGCACAGATTTGGTACCAAACAGCTACCTTAGCATGCTGAGGGTTAACTAACCCCAGCCCGTACCCGCGAGATGCAAACCAGCTGTCGATGGTCCTGTCAGGGTAGAGGCTCATGGCAGGCTGCATCTGGTGGTGAGTTTTAACCTTCTACCTGCTGCCTAACCCCAAAATCAGCACAGATTTGGTACCAAACAGCTACCCTTGCATGCTGAAGGTTAATGGCCCTGTCCCTAGTGCTGAATCCGTGGTGGTTATTAACCTCCCTACTGCCTAACCCCAAAACCAGATCACCATGGTCCCGAGGCAGGCTGCACCTGGTGGTGAGTGATAAATTAAGAAACAAAAAACAGGTTACGTCTTAAAGAACAACTTCGGTCTCTTGTTTGAAGACTGCCACACCTTGAGCACATTAAAGAACCCACCACCAGAGGTTCAAACCTTACACAGCTTGTATCCTCTATAAAAAACTGTTGTGTTACCCCTAAAGGAAAAAGAAACCAGCAGTAATCCCAGTTCTCACCAATTTTGTGTTTCTCCCCAGCTGAACGACACGGCCAGCAGACGGTACGAGGTTCCCATAGCGACGCCCGCGGCAACCACCAAGGCCGCCGCCCCGCTGTACGACGTGGAGTACTCCCACAATCCCTTTGGCATCGTGGTGAAGCGACGCAGCAACGGGCGCGTGCTGTAAGTAACAGGGGGGGTGGGGGGGA